GTGTGTGTGTATATATATATATATATATATATAGAACAAAAAATAAATACTCAAAAGCCATTTTTTTCCAAACATCAGTAAAATAGTCCTATCTATTTTATACGTATAATATTAGGGATGTATACCTGCAGATAAAATGGAAATAGGAGCTATTCCAAATGGCATCAGGTACATTATACAAGTAAATTTTAAAAATTAGATGAAATGGCCAGTTTGCTACAAAATATTGAAATTTGGCTCTATATAAAAATGAAAAGGCTAATAAAAATTTTAAAACATTGATATAGCTCTGTTCTTCCAAAAACCCACCCAGACAGTTTTACGAGTTTGGTAAACATCTAGTTCACTCATTCAACAGATACTTTAAAGTGCCTATTATGCCCTTAAAAGGTATTGTTCTTCTAGACTCAGGGTATATTTTCTGGCTAATATTTTTTGAGTGCTTATTAGATGCTAGATACCATTCCTTTTACATGTATTAGCATATTTATTCTTCATAATATGTGGTAGGGAGCAGGTGATTATTGTTATTTTATAAGTATACAGAACTGTGGTACAGAGATGCTCAATACCTTGTAGCCAAAATGATCTTTTTAAAAACACAGATCAAGTTAACCTGCTTATAACTCTTCAGTGGCTTCTTACTGGTCTCTGCAAAAGACCCATATCCTTAACAAGGACCTAAGAGCCCAGCAAGATCTGGTTGCTCTTGCTACTGACTTTTCTAGAATAGACTTGTACCACTTTTCTCTCTCTGTATCCTGTCTTTCAGGACCTCAAAAGTATCTTCCTCTCTTCTACTTAGTATCTTGCCAGGTGTTATTCTTTTTTTACCCATTGACTTGTTCCATTCACTCCCTTATGCCTAGTGAAAGCCTGATAATTCTATAGATCTTAACTCTACTTCTGATGTCTTCCAATTTCCAGATAAAATGAAGTCCTCCTACTGAGCACACCCATAGTCTTACGAACTTAACTTCATAGCCCCTATTGGAGTAATACTTTGACATGCATTTGTGTAATAATTTGATCAATGTCTGTCCCCATACTTGATTGTATGAGGGCGTGGACTATACATACACATACACATACACACACACATATATATTTTGAGGCAGGATCTCACTCTTGTCACTGAGGCTGGAGTGCAGTGGTGTGATCACAGCTCACCATAGCCTCAACCTCCTGGGCTCAAGTGATCCTGCTGCCTCAGCCTCTTAAGTAAGCTGGAACCACAGATGTGTGCTACTATGCCTGGCTAACTTTATTTTTGGCAGAGATGGGGTCTTGCTATGCTGCCCAGGCTGGTCAGAAACTCCTGTGCTTGAGTGATCCTTCCACCTTGCTGTGTTGGGATTACTGGCATGAGCCACTGTACCTAACTGATGTTTTCACTCACCATTGTATCCCTAGCACCTTGGATGATGCTGACACACATCAAACACTCAATAATGATTTAAATTTCTAAATGGATGATTTATTTTATTCATAAGATACATGAACTAGCATTAATGTTTTCAAGAACCTAAATCAATATAATGTGGGGCTAGTCAATTATCCAAAAAGTATTCTCCTAAAACCTAAAAAGAAATTAGTAAAATTTTCAGTATGTCACAATAACAAAGGACAAAGTTGGATTGTCTGTTCCATAATATTTTAAAAACTAACTTTAAAACAAAAATCAGTAGGACATAGTTACCAGGAAATTAAACAAGTTGGGAAATGCAAAAATAGAGTGGAAGATGATCTTCACCCTACACATCTCTCCAACACTGTCTAGGATTACAGACATTAAATGACTTTACCTCTTTCCTTAATCAAAACAAATTGTTCAGGGAGAATGATTTAAAGGAATAGTCCCAGCCAGGTTTGGTGGCTCACGCCTATCATCCCAGCACTTTGGGAGGCCGAAGCCGGCAGATCACTTGAGGTCAGGAGTTGGAGACCAGGCTGGCCAACACAATGAACTGCATCTCTACTAAAAATACAAAAATTAGCTGGGGGTGGTGGTGCATGCCTGTAATCCCAGTTACTTGAGAGGCTGAGGCAAGAGAATCACTTGAACCCAGGAGATGAAGGTTGCAGTGAGCCACTGCACTCCAGCCTGGGCGACAGAGTAAGACTGTCAAAAAAAAAAAAAAAAAAAAAAAGAAACAGTCATTTTAAGGGTGACTAAAGATGCAATGAATAAAGCTAAACCAAGCCGTGTAACTACAGAGGCGTAAATGTAAAACTAACATTCCTTGACTATTTACTGTGTCAGGGATGATCTAC